ATATCTGTACTTGACCTGAAATGCTGCTCAGACTTAGAGCTATTTTTGACTTTGTGAAAAGCTAGAGAGAAGCCATATGAGAAATACACCACGTGGCAGCATTGCATTGCTAGCCCCCAACCATCAAATAAGGGGAATTGTAACGTATAATGTTAAAATAATTCCGAGACCTTCAAATGCAGTACATGTAATGGTGTGCTAAGACAGATGTTAGAGAACAAAAAAATTCCAATTGTACTGTAATATTACATCTAAAATATCTTAAACATACCCTTAGAGTTACAGAGTGCTGACTGATTATTTAAATCAGTAATGGGTAAGGAGATACAGTGGGCAGTGTCCAGGCTTCTTGGAGAATAGATTCTATGCCAGATTCAGTGCTCTTTAAGCTCAGATTGTTTCCTGTTTCATACAGTTAGCTGTTTCTGCTTGTAAACATTCTGAAATCAGACCAGCAAATCAGGATTGCAGTGGAAGGGATCTTTTCATGCACTGCCTAAGTGGAAGACCCTGCCCATAACTAAATTACTATAAGTTACTGTCCAGAAATAAAATAAACCAATCAACCAAAAAGCTTCAATTCAGTCTCAATTGGTGGAATTGTACTGAGTGTGTTTTAGTACTGTCATCTTCTGTCACCTTGAGTGTTGACTTCTAAGTGTTTATTTATAAAATGTTTGAAAGTGGTTTGGTTATGAGTTATCATTATGATATCCAGCTTCCCATTTTTTTTGTTAACTTTCATTGTTTGCTATTTGACCTTGTGACTTAGCTTACAAACCTTCTTCTTCTACAGAACAACAGACCACAGATGAAGGTGGAGCTGGTGGTATTGATTTCTAAAATGTTCTTTTTCTGTTGTTCTGCACTCACTACTAACCTTTTAAACTTCAGTTCTTGTTTTTCTGAAACTAAGGAAAACCATCTTCTTATAGATCTTTTCCTGGATCTTGGCCAGCTGTGCAACAAATGTGATCCCTAAGTAGAAGGCAGCCCCCTATGTTTTTAACTATCCCTCCCAGCTAATTAAACTACAGCTTAAGTCATGGCATCCTGAGGGAATTTTCAGGGAAACGATATGTGCATTTGGGTTTTTAAAGACAACTGAATACAGCATGGGGGAAGAGAAGAGAAATTCTTAGTGGCCTGTGTTTGAATATAAATTAGTTCAGTAGTCTAAGCTTTTTGGGTTTTTTAAGGGCAATTTTGAACCCTTTCATTGTTTCCCAATTTGCAAAAAGTACATGGTGGGTCTTGGTTTGTTTTCTTTTTGCTTTGTTTTACCAGTAATTGAAGTAATATTTGCAAAATCAAATATTTTGCTGAATCTTTGTGAAAGGGAATGGGTCCTTTGTGCAGTTTGATACTTTTTCCATGAAGGGTTTTGCAAAATCAGATCTGTCCAATTACCTAAATATAATTCTATATATTAAATGTGTTTTCATTGGATTTCTGGTGCCTTCCAGTGCACAGCCTGAGCCATTCGTAGAATGTTTTGGATCACTGATATATTTGTCAAGGCTGTATGTTTAATAAGCGAAATTATTTCTTGTAGCCAGTTTAGGATGATAGCTCTCAGCTGAGCCCAGCTAAATCTGAATTCTGAAAGTCTGTGCATGCTCACAGCATTACTAATTCAATACAGCTGTCTTGTAATGCTGACAATATGAGACTTGAAAATGCAATGAAAGTCTGACTGAGTATGATTTAGCTGTTGTGGCTTATTCTGGCAACAGAGCAAAAGCATGTGTATTTTATTTAACTTCTCTCTTCACTTTCTCCACCCAGCATGAATCCCTAATTTTCTCCAAAATTAGCCAGTTTGACTGGATTGGTTTACCTGTTTAACATGTGTTCCTTGGATACATATATAAATCCGATTACTGTATTCCACAGTACCAAATGTCATTTAACCTTGAAACTAGTAAATCACATTTGCCTTCTGTATTTAGGAAAGCACTATTTTTTTTCCTCTTCCGTTCTTTTCTACCGTATCTAATTTTAAAGATAAACTTTGTAACAAGCATAAAATATTCTTTGCTCTCACCTGGTTTATGTGAGGAAATGAGTCTTCTCTGTCCTTTTGATCATAGAGGAAGATCTTCAGTGCTGCTGAAGCATATTAAAAATAAACTCTCTTCCAATAAACATGCTCTTGATGTAATAATAGGTGCTTCAGCTGTATCTTGTGCATCATAAAGTAACAAGAGCAGGAGCAGAGAAGTTCAGCTATGGTAGATCAATTTGGATAACTTGGCACAAATTTTGAAAAAATTGACTATGGAGATAAACAGATAATGCAGTGTTTGACTAAGGCACCTGTGCACCCACACTGTTGTAAATCTGTGTTTGATTTTATGTTGAGGTTTCAAACATACAGCTGTCTTACCTGGGGTGGATAATGGGGAATAATGATTTGGTTTATGCTTCTTATATTTATTCCTGTTTCAGGATCATTCTTAGATTTTTATATTTCTGGGAAGTCCTCACTTAGTTATTATTTAAAAACTACCCAAACCATGTAGGATGCCTAAGTCCAGCCGCCTTTCTTAAAAATGCTTTGTTGGTCCCTTTCATCTGGTAGGAAGACAACAATTACCTTTTTTTTTTTTTTTTTTTTTTTTTTTTAAACTCTGAAAACTGACACCACATAAGGTCTGCTACATTACATCGTTGTGGCTGAGTACTGCACCTTGTCTTAACAGCACATCTAGAGCAAATTTCAATACAATATTATTTTTCCACCATCAGTTTCTGTGGCAGATTTGGAATTAAAGGCTCCATATTTTAAAACGAAAACTATTGGTGAAACAGATTTTAAATACTCTTTACATTACTTTAGAACAAAAGGTTTTCTTGTCTATTGTATTGCTGTGCAAAAAAGTACAGAATCGGGCATGTTCTTCCACAAACCATCTGTGTCAACAGTAATATTTAGGAACATTGACTGGTAAAGCAGCATTTGTGGGTGATAGAGGTAGTGTGCTCTGGAGTGTGAACCCCGTGTAACTGAACACTTCACCAACCATCAGCCATTCTGTATTATGTACAGACAGTGATTGATTGAGACTGCACCAAGTACCCCACTAATGGCCTGAAATTTAAAAATTGATGAAAGCTCCAGAGTCAAATGTTACAGTAGTGACATTGCTGTCAGTGTGAAGATGAAACATGCAGGGTGTGAGTCTGCCAAGAGAAATGGCAAGGCTGTGTAATAAAGCATCCTTGATGACAGAGTCCTTGTAAATGAGGGAGGTTTAGTGATCACTGCTAAGCAAAACTAGATGTTCAGGTGCATGTGTAGTGGAGGTGTGCTATTAGAATAGAAATGGGGCTGCCAGAGCTTCTCCTTACTGAATAAAGAGCTTCCTTGTCCTAGTAGAAATTTGGAAGGAAGTGAGAAATGGATAATCTTATTTTATTTAGCCTAATTTTATCCAACCTCAGACAGGCAGTGCTGCAGCACCCTCTCTCAGTAAAACTCAGTGAGAAGCTAGGATTGATAGGTGCTCGCTCTCATTACAATTTTGTTGAGATACTGTGTTTCCCAGCTCCTTACCCCATTGCAAGCTTTGCTGCTTGGCAGTCATATGCTTTCTTTGGCTTTGCTGCTACAGTTTCCTTTCCCCCTTCCTTTAAAAAAATACAGATGTTTGGTATCAAGTCGGATTTGTGTTGTTTGCTTCTTTCATTTCAAATCCCTTGACGTAAGTATGCTAACTTTCCCCCCAAAACACAAAAGATATTTGAGGTATTTTTTCAAAAGATATTTTGTAAATACCTATGTAACCAGACTAACTTACCCAAGAATATCCCGACTGTCCTCTAAAGCTTGTTTTCCTAGTGAATTGTCCACAGCTATAAAGTTTGCAGAAGCTGTCCTGTGGCTGAGGTAGGGAAAAAGTTGATCATGTATTTGCAATGTATTGATCAAAAAAGCATTGGATTCTTAAGATCATAGACAATTAATGCAAAGTAAAATTTTCTGGAAAAAGAAAACTCAAATAACTGTATGAATACCCTTTACCAATTAGATTTTTTTTTTTCTGTCAAGGCATCAGTGGAGATACTAGCTCATGCCCTCACCACTGGTCTACGTTCCCCTGAAAAAGAGACTGATTTTTTGTTGTTGTTGTTGTTGTTTTTTGTCTGAACAGTCATATTTAGCCTCTACTTTTTTTCTTTTGAGTCTTCTAGTCGAAGTTTCATCCCTTGTCTCTTTACTAAACAGCACAGCCCACCTCCAGAACTTGTAAACTTGCTAGAAAAGAATTGCTTTGCTCAGTGTAATTTTCTCAAGGCAAGTTTTAATTTTTTGCCCTCTGGGTCTCAGTAGGTGGATGATAGACCAAGCCTTAGATTTCATGCAAGTGCCAAAGTCCTAATTTGAACCAAGAGACGTTTGTATGAAGCATCTCCAGGGTGTTTGGAGACCTTAGTTGGATGCTTGAGTTCAGGCAGGAGCCAGGCTTTCTTTTTAAGAGCAGACGCTAGAGGGTAGTCTTTACCTTCAAAAACACCCGAATACATGGATTAGGAGTTTCCTGGTTCTAGTTATCCCAGTACTCTGGCTTCATTCATAGAGTGCCCTTTTTATTGTTATTATGTTGGGAAAGTATATGATAAGCTTAGATCTTCATTTCTTAACTAGATTCAGTGGATCCCCCTTGCTCCCTCTTACCCACGGGGACTTTGCTTTTGTTCACTGTGACAAGAGCTTGCCACTGTTGTAGCTTCAGCTCCAAAATCTGGTTTTCACTTCACGTGGTTTTGCAGGAGGCCCCTAGCTCAGAAAGCCTGCGTTGGGTACATGTGCCAAAAGTGCAATGCAGAGGCAGGGCTGTCTGTAGGAGTCCTTATGTCCTGGCTCTTACTATAAGGAGCTGCTAGAGCATGCTGGCTAAAGGGAAAAGACGCTGCCTCTGTGGTGAGTAGTGCTGCTTTTTCCTTTGGTACTTGTGCACTAATGAGTTCAGATTAATCAACTCTGCTGTCCCGTACGCCAACAAAATTGATTACTTTTGTTCGATTTGTTGTAGAATTCCTTGTGTTTATTATGCTAGTCTGCGCTACTTGGCGTGCATGGCCGTTTTCTGCTTATTGAGTTTCCATAGCAACAGGTACATGCTTTTCCAAGACTTCCACGCTCTGGAGTAGTGTTCATCCTGAAAGTACATTATTTGAAATTAAAAAGCAGGTATTTATCTGACTTGTAGTAAACTTGAAATTTTGCCATTTGAGATGTGGGTTTTATGTGTATATATATATATATATATCTGTTTCTGTGTGTATACACATACAAAAAGAATAATTAACCCGCTTGTGGCAGGTTTTTTTCAGAAGAGTTGGAAAATTGGTAGGAAACATGAACTTAAGGATAAATTTTCGAGAAAAATTGGGAATTTCTAAAATAGTTACAGCAACCCTTGGGAAGTAATCAGAAATAGGAACGCTTTCTTGCCTTTCCTCAGGACTTGCCTTTATCCCTCCAAAAGCATTTGGTTTCTTTTGCTTTTGTGAACTAGTGATTGAAAAACTGTTTTCACGTACCTTCATGTGGAAGGAATTAAGAAAGAAATTACTGGGGTTTAGGTTTTGTTGTTACTTTTTCTGTCTTAACCAGTCTGGTAACAACACACAACCTCAGTAGCTTTTGTCTTTACACATTAGGAGCACAGGGTTTATAAATCACTTGTTTGCATACATACACATAAAATCTTGGCATAACTCCACTAAACTAAGCTAAATACCTTTTCTGTACATGTTACAGCTGGTGCTAATTGTATCAAATGTGTTCAAAGGAAAAAAAAAAACGGGAATTTCTGTTTCTCATTCGTCAAAACTGGAAATAGCTTTCAGGATGTAATACTTCCAAAGTTAGCTCACGGCAATGTGTGAAAGGTTCTTCCTCAGGTATGAAGATGAATTCTAAAGTAAGCGCTTCTTTACACAGCCGGCAAGCGGTCCACCTCCACAGCAAACCTCAAACAGACAGAAGCTGTCATGAATAAACGGTTGTCATCATCTGCAGCGCTTTTAAATGCTTCTGATCGAAGTAAGTGTTTGTGTGTCTGCTGGTAGCAGGTGTACTGCTTAACTGTTACTTGGGGAGGAGACAGGAGATGGAGTGATACTCCTCTTCCTCCCTTTCTGTGTAACTCACTTCATATTTTGACCTCAGATGCATTTCATGCCGTTTGTTAATCCAGCTTGACTGTTTAGGGCTTTGACCCAGTTGATGTGATCTCTGTTAGAGGAGAAGAGTAACGGTAAAAATTGCTGGTTTTTTATTTTTTATTTCTGTAATTGTTTTACTAAAGTCAAATCTTGATGAATGATTGATTCACAAATCAGTTCACATCATCTTTATGGGTTTGCATGCCTTAAATCACACCCTCAAATTTCAGCAAAATAGAAATAGTACAAAAATAAAGTTTGCCTTGTTCTGTTAGCTTCAGTCGTTTGATTGCCTGTGGAAAGGAAAAAATCAACTTAGTTTTGGCATCTTTCTGTTGTCCCAGTCAAATACTCTGTAGACACTCTCTTTCTTTTTAATATTAGAATTCTGCTTTAACCAAATAGAGAAGGATGCATGAAAAGCCTCAACACCTGTGGGAGTTTTTTGAGTGAGAGGAGACCGTTTTGTTTTGACCTGGAGTTCTAGCATGATTATAGTCATAGCATGCAGCCCAATAGATTAGTATAATCTTGATACTGATACTCAAATTATGCATTTCTTAAATGTAGTGCACACCACTGCTTGCAAGCATTCTGGATTACTTATTGTGCCAATGACTACCAAGGAACAGAAATGGCCTGGAAGCCAGCTGCTTCTTTAATTTTTTTTTTTTTAAGAGTTTCTGAGAGTGTTTGCACTGTAGAGATTGTTTACCAGTTTCTGTGGCTTCCAGTCGCATTTTGAGTTGCAACTTTGGGGTGGACGAAGCTCCTAACTGGAGCCTGTCATGTTTAAAATGTGTACCATGCAATGAGTCTTAACAGGGCTGTAGAGAGTGAGATAGATCTCTGGTTTTCCCACTCTCTGGTAAACCTGTGCATGTGAGTTTCCCCTCTACCCCGTCCCGATACATTCTGTAAATCATGGCAATCTGCTTTGACTGAAGTAAAAACAAAACAAACAAACAAACAAAAAAAAAACAAAAAAACAAATCAAAAAAAACAACCCACACCACATCAAATTATGAAACACAAGGAATTGTCCTCATCTACTTATTAAGAAAAGTAAAAATTATTTGCGTGAGCACGTATCAGCTTGTTTTAGCCAGAGATTTCCTTGTGGGGAATCTTCCCAGTGTTTCATAGTAACCTGCCTGTATCACTGATGTTTGGGGTTGTTTGTTTTTTTTTTTTTTTTTCTCAAAATGATGAAGAGCATTAATAAGCTAAGAGCTGTTTAATACAAAAAGAAGTTCAACTAGGTCTATGCTGCAGTGTTCTGTCAATCTGCAACCTTTGATGAAATGAGCTATGCTAGAAGAATCCCTAACATGGACACAGCTAACAGTGATTTTGCTGGTTCATGTTGGAAGATGATGCAGCAGAAAGACTTCTACTCATACACTGTATGCCTGGCAGGGGAATCAGTGAATATACCTGTACTGGCATGACTGCAGGGCCTCTGAGTCACTGGAGACTGTTTTTGATTTTAAATGATATTTATATATAATGTGTCTGCAGGGCTCAGCTCTGAGTCAGAAATAGGGCTGTAAAGTACAAATTAAGCTGCTAACAAAGGAAGTCACTAATTATCAACTAATTGAGATTGCTTTCAAACTTACTGTCTTACCTTGAAATCCTTTGTGAATCCTTGTTCATTTTGGAGGAGAAATTCTCACGTGGCCCAGAATACAAGAAATTTGGACAGGAGTCCAACTGATCCATGTGGTCAGGATGCAGAGGTTGAGTAACTGACTGGTTTAGATCACCACAGCAAGTTAGAGCGATTCTATGCTCTTGATCTGGCACTCAAGAAAAAATGACTGTTTGGTGAAAGATGGCTAAATTCAGATGATGGAAAATACAGTCGCAGAATTAACCAGATTGCTTCTGCCGTGCATGTGTGCCTGGGAAGGTGGAGGAGCAGAATGCAGAAATGAAAGGAAGATGCTTGTGCTTGGATCAGTGGAGTATTTCATCAGCTGTATTCTGTGTTAATTCTGAGCTCGCTCTTACTCGTAGAGTATGTGAGTAATCGCCTCTTTTAGTTATTTACTTGTTTTAAAAGGCTTGCAAGGGTGGCCTCAGTGGGTCAAACAAGAAGTCTCTTGAAACTGGCTTCCTGCTGCTATGATCAGTAACATACAGGAATATAAGAAATAATGCTTTATATAGAGTAATTCTTCCCTGATCCAGTTTTCCTGATTCTGAAGGATTCGTGCTATAAAGTGACTTAATTACTCTTCTGTATCTTAGGGCAGTGGGGCAGGTGTTGGAGGGGACTTGGAGGCTTTTGACCGTAATTAATCCATGCACTTTCACTTCCAGGTACCACAAAGAGAAGTGCCTCATTAAACAGACTGAATAACAAAGTTCCTCTACATTCTCAGCAGTCAGCACTCAAAGGTTCGCAGGTGGAACAGAAAGGTGCTAGAAACCAGTTTGTTTTGAGAATTGGGAGGCAGTAAATGGGATATTTGAAGTTGACTTTAAACCATGTCCCAGTTCCATTATAAGTGTTTTTACTCAGGCTTTCACTGCTGTGCATATGTAGTCTGCGCTGTGGCATAAATACCATAGGCACATTGCAGTGCCAAATATTGGGTAACTGTGTCTATAAACCAGCCTTATTCCTCTGAAAAGTGGAAGGGTGGGGGGAGAGTAGACAAATGGTAGCCAAACCACTTAGCTCATGAGAAAACGGTGCTTCATAATGATAGATCAGTGGTTTTAGCTGAGTGGCAAAAGCAAAGCACGGGAATGGCAGTTCAGAAAATCATATATATAAATATCTTGTTAAAAATAATCTTCCTTACGCTTGGTCTCTAGGAGGAACAGAAAAGAAGAGGAGCACATCTTTGAATAGAATGAGTAGTAAACCCCAATCCTCTCCAGAACTAGAAAAAGTGAAAAAGGAAGAAAAAACAGGTGGTTGTTTCAAAAGCTGAATATTTCTTTTTAAAGCCATTCATAGTAAAGTTTAGATAGGCTTACTTCACTAGTTTCCTTGGTTCTTAAATTTTTAGGACTTTTTAATGGCTTTTTAGTTATCCAGTGATAAAGATAGAATTCTAAATGGTAAAGATTAAATTTCTCCCTTTGGACAAAAAAGAAATCCTGTAAGAAGGACTTTGACTTTCTTAAATGATACTGTAAGTAGATAGCAAAGTGTCTCTGCATAAGAGAGAGATGTATTTGAAAGCTGGTAGGTTTAAATATAAGACAGAGTAAAAATGTCACTGATATGTTCACTTCTTAGTTAAATCTTACCTTTGCTCTTTAAGCTTTCTTTCATTATTCAGTTTAAAAGCAACTTCTCTGTTTCTGCTGCTGCCCTAAACTTTGTGCATGCCAATGAAGGAGGAAACCTGTTCTCCCTTCAGTCTCTTTTGGTCTGTATATTCCCCACTAGGTTACAGATATCTCTTTTCTAGGAACTCTTCCTAAAGCTGAAGACTAGCAAATTTCTAACATGTTTTTCCCTTTGAGTTAACAGTTCTCAGACTTTCCTTTTTAGCAGCTATTGCCAAATATGGAAATGATACTCTGCTTGAGAATCTTTCCTGTATGGGAGGATGATGGATGCTGTCCATGTGAATTTGTATGTGCAAATGAAGCCTGACATAACTGTTTGCTTTGACTTGCAAGTCTTCTGTTTACTGTGTCAGAACAGCCTTTCCTGCAATCTAGAGAATACAGCTCAAGAGCTGGGTCAAAAAATTTTCAGACTTTGACTGGCTTCAGCATTCTGCTCTGTTGTATGCCAGCCAGTCTTTGCACATTAAAATTATTTCTGTTAAGCAAGCTGAGGACAAGAAGTGCAACATAAGAGATTGCAGTGTTTAACCCTTCTGTGCTTTTAGTTTGGATTTCCCTCTCCATGGCTTCTGTATTTTTCTTTCCAAACGGTTATGATTTGCAACAATGCTCACAAACTGCCTTTGCTTTGTACTGCTTGTCTTTTTCATTATATGATTTCATGTTGGATCCTTTTTGATTTGTTCCCATCATTTAGCTCGTCGTTCCCAGCTCAGTCCTCTGGACAGTAGCGTAATCAGTCGCCTCCTCGCCCCCACGCAGGCCTCCTTAGCTAGGAGTAAAAGTGCTGCTACATTATCGGCTGATGGACAAGATCCCTCAGGTAACAGGAGGGCAGCAAAGCCTGAAAGTTTTATGCAGTTGCTCTTCAAGCAAGGACTTACATGATAGTCGCTAACAGTGCTACACCTAAGTATGAATCAGATGGTTAATATATGGTTCTGTGTAATATTACTTATCCAGTACTCTCTTTGACCAGTAATAACCAATTCATATGCTATGTTGCATGTTTACTTTAAAAAAACATGGAATAATACTGGCTTGTAAACTTCAGTGCCAGTTTACTTGCTCTGCAGAGAACCAGATGCTGTTGTTCATCTTGGGTTTTGTTTGTGTTTTTGTTTTAGCTGACAGAAACCTCAAATGACCGAGACATTTGTCTCAGGTCAGAGAGCAGTGTTAGGAAGTTAAAGGGAAAAAAAAAAACAAACAACCAAACATAAAATTTCAAAGGAGGCTGAAAGGAATAGGTGCAAAGCCTATATTTCTCTAGGAGGAGGAACTTGTAGGAACATGACAAAGCAGTTATCTTAAGTGCAGGGAGCCCGAGCTGGCTTCAGTCAGGTTGATTGTAGAAGGAGAGGCGTGCTAGAAGGAGAAGATATTGTAGAGAAGCCCTGGCTGGCTCAAGCAATTTCAGGTTGGTGCAGACTGAACTGACAAGCCCATACTGTGGTTCAGCTTAATACTAGCACAGGAATCTCTGCGTCGTGGGCCAGCCCTAGCTGCATCCCACATGTCTTATAATTGTTACTGGTTATAACAGTGGCCCAGTACATGTGTATCTGGAACCAATGTGGAGTCCTTTCTCCTTTCTTACCTTACAACTTGCGTTCCCAGTTTTTCTTGTTTCCTCTTCAGTATGTTCTTCCATCTTAATTTATTATCTTATGCCACTGAACTTGGTCCTTGTTGGTAATGGGGACACTTCTACACTGTTCCCCTTGTGTAACAATCAGTTTTTACTTCTTTTTGTTTGTAGTCAGTGGTCATATTTTTGCACACCTATCTATGTGCCACTTTTATTTTACCATGAATGTTTCATTCATGCCAGATGGGGAAGTACCATCTTTTTCACTCTTACTGACAGCATGTGACTTATTCACTATTGCTGAATTAAAGATACCATTTACTTTTTATCAGTTTACTGAAAGGTACTTTCTTCATTTCAGTAGAAATGTACCTGAGCCTTAGCACAAACTATGCGCAAACTGAATGCAGTTCTCCTTGCACAAATGCTGTAAATATAAAAATAAAATGTATTTTCCATAAAGTTACAAAGTTAAGCACTGGCATCTGTCACAATTTATTCGGACTATAGAAAAATCTAATACTTAGTTTCAGGAGTAGATTTTTACATCTGTGTATCCTTATCCATCTATAATTATGTTAGTGGAAAAGTAGGTAGAAGATACAATTTCTTTGAATATCTTATGCATGAAGAGATTGATACTTCAGGTAGGACAGGTATTTTAGTTTAACAGTTGACTTTTTTTTCTTCATAGGTTTGTTTTACACCACCTATTTTGATTAGTTAGTGTGAATAAAAGGCACACATATGTAGTAGTAAAGGGTTCAGAGAGGGAACATAGAATAAAATAGTGTTGCACAAAAGCTTATTTCACAAGAAAAGTTGGTAAAGTAGTGCTCAGATTCCTAATGTAATGCTGCTTTACAGCTACTTTTTGAAAAGAAGGAAGATTTCCTCCTTGAGTATGGGGGAAACATGCTTAAAATTTGAACTTGTCGTGAAGAACTTGTAAAGAGAAATGCTAAGCCATTAAAACTGAAGTATTTGTGATTAGATGCAGCTTGACTAAAGTAACACTGGTGTATTGCAAATTTAGGTGTTGTTTGGAAAATCATTTTATTTTTATCTACTCCAAACTGCTGCTTTAAAAGTGGTTTTATTCTTGGTGCTGTTGCTTCCACAGTACTAATCGTGTGGTGGTGGTGTCTGTGTCTGTGACCCATTGCAATGTGCACTGCCTGTGGTGTTTCTCTGTATGGTTTCTAACACACACAATCTTTCTTTCTCTCTTTCTCCCTCTTCTTTTTCTCCTGTTCTTATGCTGTGCACTTGGTTCTCGTTTTGTCTTGTCAAATTCCTAACTTTTATAGAATCTCACCTCTGTCCTCGTTCAGCTTCAGCCAGTTCCATCAATTCCCCAGTCCCAGCTCCTAAAGTGCCCGTGCGCAGTCGTAGCATCGACAGATTGAAGTCCTCTGTATCTTCATCTGATGCAAGTTCACCAGATTCAACCCAGGTTTGTTGAAGATCCACAGGAATTAGGTTTGTATTAATCGAGGGGGGTTGGAACAGCTCAGGATGGGATTCTGTTTCAACAGTTTGCTTGCTTATTGAAATGTTCAATAGCATTTGCTTCAGAAACACAGTATTGAAATCAAATTGGATGTCTCTCTGGTGTCTTAGAGGCACGCTGTTTGCTGCTTATGGTTCCCAAAGTTTAATTTGGGTAACGTATTGACTGGGTCTATTGTTTTTGGAATGTAAAGGAAATGTAAAGTACATCTTGTTGAGAAGTTGTATGTTTGTTGTGGTGGCAGCTCCTCTGTATTCCAGAGAGTGACCATTATTTTGGTTTTATGCGTGTTAGAAATCCGAAACAGAAAAACCATCCCCAGCTTCTGGTTTAAGACGCCCTCCCTCGCCATCTGTGTCTGCCCGTAGAAGATCCCCTTCTCCTGCTAATTTGGTGAAGCGTCCTCCATCACCTTCTACAGTTAGGTATGTGTCCGGGTTAAGTAACTTTTCTATTCAGAAGTACATGAAGGCTGCTTCCTCCCTCGGACAGCTGTGCTGTTAGCATTTGGATGACCTACCTATGCCATGTTTATACACGTAAGGACTTCACTTTTGTTCTGATACCTCTTTTCCACCGTAGGGATGCAGCCCTTACTCAAAACTTTGTCTCTTTTGTGCAGACAAAATACACCCTGGTTTTCTGTACAGTCTGTGTACTAAAACCAACAGGGAGCATGCAAGCTTCTGAATGAGATGATCTGCCTGTATTTTTGTAGGAGGTTTCTTGGATTGGAGTCACAGGGTTCATCCTTGATGTGGAGTAAATGGAGGTCTGGGCTAGCAGACCTGTTTTGATGTTAGCCCACAAGTAGCGAGACCGGGTGCCCAGGGTATTTTGGAATCCTGTATTTGAGTTTTATGAGGAAGGCACCAGTAGTTTGTGTGTGGATTTAGTTTTAAAAGCAAGGTACATAACATAAACTAACCAGAGTAGACTGCTGTTCTTAGTTGCGTGTTTGAGGTTTTCAATGTTAGCCCTGAAAAATACTCTCTATTTCAGCAGACAAAAGACTCGCCCACCTTCACCTAGTGTGTCAAAACAAAGGCCACCATCTCCTACTCCAGTCTCTAAACCGGCACCCATCCAACGTCCACCTCTTACGCCTGGTGTCATAAACATTACCAAAAAGAAAACTGAAGCAGATAGCAAACCAAAGGATAAGAGCACAGAAGGAACAGGACAAGAGCAAGGTGCTTCACCAGCCTTGGACAGGGATGTGGTAGCAGCTAGCACAAAAACCAAAGAAGGTGAGTGTTTCTCAGTGACTGACACACTCTTATTCAAGACATCTCCAGTGTGTGCTACGACTGGTGAAATAATTTGTTCATGAGGGAGACTACTGGAGGGTAGGATGCTTTAAGGCAGAAGCTGTTCATTGCTGGTTATTTATACAATGATTTTACGTGGTATGACTTTTGGGTAGGGATTTTAGTGCAGTAGTCAGTTTATTTGACTTGGAGTTTTAAGTCCAGAGCTTTCAATGTTATTTTGTACTATAATTTTAAGAGAAGCAAAAATCCTGTTTGCCTTTTGGACTTCAGGCAAACTAGCTGAGAGATCTACTAGCTTAGGTTTGCAAAGGCAATAGTTAAACTATGTAAAGGTCTTTCAGTCCAGTTGGTAGTTCTTAAAATTGCTCATCTAGAGACCTGCATGGAGGAAGAAGTCAGCTATTGGTGCATCACAGTCTGAGAGCCAGCTTTCACAAAGCTAGAAGGCTGCCTCAGTCTCAATTCCAGTGGATGTGTAATCATTGCTGCCTCAGGAAAACGTGGTCATTTCATGGGTCACACCGAGAAATTATCTTGGTAGAATAAGGAGAGCCACATACTGGATAAGCAGTTAGTCTAGTCATCTTCATCGTGCCTAGTAAGGACAGCCTCTGTCCCTCTTACCGGAAGTGCGCCATCTGCCGTCTCCAGAACAGAATCTGGGAGAGCCTTCTGATGAGGTCTGGTAGGCAGTTCTCTGTGGAGAAGGACTTAGGGGAGACTTAACAGGAGAAGAAGGGATCGTTGGAGTTTAAACTACAGCCGGTGAGCAGTACTGAGGGTGAAAAACCTTCAGACGTAAGGTAAGTGGGAACATATGCTTGCTGCACGTTATGGCATGTACAGTTCCTGTTCTGCATTCCTCAGCTGCTGCGCTTGTCTGTGATTTCCGAGGCTCTTCCTGACACTGTTCAGTGTTGGTGATTCTGTGTGAAATAGCGTTAGTCGGCTGAAGAACTCATTTATGCTACAGGTCTTCAAGCATATGTTCCTGTAGAAGGAAGCCTGGATGTCATAGCCAGCTGTGGTTGTTTGTATGAAGTTGCACATCCATCTTCAGTGTCACGGCATTCATCTTTGCAGTCAGAGTGTCCATCCCTCACCTTACTGTGACAAATGTCTTGCATGCCTCAAAGGGGGCATAATCAATTGCAATCAGTGTCATTGGTTGTTGAAACCTCCATAACAACTGTCCTATTTCTGTATCTTCCAGTTGTTCTGGAACAAGAACACCTGTCCTTGTTCTTGGATGCCCCACCTGTCTCCTCTCCACACTGACTTCTGGAACTGTATTAACCCAGTTTGTTTCCATTTTAGTTTATTGCTAATGTCCAAGCTAGTTGTCTTTGGAGTAGATCATAATGGCTGTGGGTGAAGCTCTTTGACATGTACAGGACAAGGAAATAGTAGCCATTTTCTTCAACCTAGAGATGATTTCATTTATCTCTTTGAATGTTGTGGTACACTGCAATATGGCTAAGTGAGGCAAAAACTTTATTCCTAAAAAGTTGCTTTCAGTTCTCAAGGCAATTTTCATTTTACATGTCTGTTCACCCTGTGGGTTGGTGCAATACGATACTCCAGACAGCTTCTGAGGTCAAAATGCCCCAATGAATGACATGGGGCAAATCAGTCTCTAGGTCTTGTAGGTCCAACCTAATTTCAACTTTGTGTAGTTGTATCTTCTTACCATCTCTTCTCCTTCAAACTAAACTTGATTGCCTGTTGCTGACATGGCAATCAAGTTTTTGGTCTTATTTTTTTCTATCTCCCTGCTGAAATATACTGTTCTGCCGTAAAACACTTTCTATTTTTCAGTGACTCTGAGAAGTTGTCATTTCTGGCAGCAGCCTTTCACAGCTTCTCTGAGTGTTAAAAGGCTTGTTTCAACTTAAAGCATAAGAAGCGCTCCTTCATGAGCTCTCACCTTATGCATGATGATAGGTAATAAACTATCACGGAGCCTCACTCTCTTGTGTCTGGGTAGTGAAGGCTTTGGAATATGATTCCTAGATTGATTGTGAATAAATGACTTGCCTTGGAATGTGCTGGAATCTTCCCTCCATCCAATTAATACTACAACACAAGCATGCTTGTGTTCTTCCTGTTAAACTGGAAAATAACAGTCCGGTAAGGAACTGACACCAGATTCTCCTCATGTAGCAGATCTGTGTAATATTCTTCTCTATCTTACATTAAAAAAAAAAAAAATTATAGGGAGAAAAGGAGGAAATTCAATTCTTCACAAGTTGCACATCTGTATCCTTCCTACTCAGTTGGCAACCAAATATGGCTGAAGAGGAACTGCCTAAAGGCAGTCTGTATTCCTAATGGCTGCAAGTCTCTTAATAGCGCCTCTTTGCTCTTAAACCACAGGCTGGAATTAAGGCCAACAGATCAGCTGTCAGTCCTATAGATGCATTTTACAATTGTTCTGAGACATTTCTCTTGCCTGTTTTACTCCTTCCGCTTCCATCACAAAAAGATCCTTTGAGAAAAAGACAGTTCTTATAAGGAATGACAATGGGAGTACAAGGAAAATGGAGCTGAGTATAAAACGCTGGAAGAATCTTCTTAAGACATGATAGCAATCATGTTGGGAAGTCCCACGTCCTGCCCTATGGAAATAGACTGCACAAGGGGTGCATGGAGATGAAAGCACTATTGAAGTAACCATATGGAAAACATCAGTAAAACTTCAAAAGTGAAAATGCAATGGGACTATCCCCCATAGACTTGAGATCTCTTGAGATCTGCCCTCTTTTGTTTTTGAGCCCCCTGCTGCTGCCATATTGTGGTGTTCTGAATCGTTATGACTAATTTTCTTCTATCATTTTCAATACCAGGCTATCATCATGCTATGGCCCTATAACCTAAAAACCTAAAACCTTTAGGCTTCTTGCTGAGGATTAAATTGTCTTATTTAGGTTCAGTTTTGAGCAAGGGGAATAGGTTAAACCCGACAATAAATGTCAACCAATTTTGATACAGCTGAAATTCCAGTAGTGTTAAAATAGAATTGCGGCGTTGTTTGCTGGGCAAGTGCGTAACAGAAGATGTCCTTGGCTGTAAAAAGTGATTAGTCTAAAGCGGTGAGACACTCAAGTGGTAGAGGAGAAGAGATGCATTTTGATTTCTTCATGATTTTATACTGGCAACAGTAACTGAAACCTCCCACCTTGTCTTTAAATTAAAAAAAAAAAGTTGCAGAATATAGGAAGAAAAGCACTTAGTACGTGAAAGTCTCAAGTAGGCAGATCCTGCTAATGCTTCTTACAGCTGCAAAGGACTGATCTTTCCTGTTCAAGGATGAGGAGGAGGAGAACCCCTTTTAACAGAGTTCAAATTTGGAAGTGTCGTGGCTGGTTCTTACTTATACCACCATGACTGCATTTTTGCCTGAAAACAGGAGCAGTGTGTGTCCTGGGGAGGTTCTTCTTTTTCAGTGTTGGATAAATCCAAATTTTGGAAAACTACCCTGTGACTGCACTCTGTGCCTTGGAATGCTTTTCCTAGGACTGCAAGAACAGGTTTTATGCACAAAACACTGCCATGATTCAGCTGCTACGGGTGTACAAATTATGCCCTGCAGCTGCAAGTAGTGGTTACGTGTCCATGGCGCTTAAGCAGCTTTTCAGGTATTACAGTTCCTAATGATGGATTGGGTTTTGAATGATTTGTCTTTAAATCAGAAGCAAAATAACTGATGAAACCCTGATGTCGTTGTTCATTAAAATTGCCTTGGCTTGAAGGCTGTATAAATGTTAAGCAAACACATAGGTGCTGATTTGTTAAAAAGAAGAAAGGCAGGTCCTCACCTACATTATGATGCTATTGCTCTTCTGACACCACAAGCTAATTCTCTGAATATTCAGATGATCAGTTCTTTAGCCACATTCAAACAGTAATATTTCTAGAGAGTGGGAATAACTGATAAAAATCAGAGTTTTTTCAATATATATTGAGAGCAACTGGATGGCAAGAGTGGGGTTTTTCCTAACGTTAATTTATATTATTATATATAGATATTAATATAGATATATAATTTATAGTATCTCTAACTGTAACACCAGGCAGGACATGAAGAAACATAAACTGCAGGACTGTACAAATAACCTGGTGGTGGGAGCTGTTTTGATCTCCATGCAAATTGGAAATTGATTTGTTGCTAAAATGTGTAGAAATATGGTGTTACTGAAGTCATTAGTATGTGCTTTCAGGGCCAGATAATGTGATTATTTGCACCCTAAGATACTCTATAAATATAACAGCATGAATGTTAATGTTATGAAACAAGAGAAATTAAAAAAAATAATAATATTTCCTCTTTAGGGTCATGTGTGTTCAGTGTTATTAGAAGGAAGTTAAGTGTGTTTCCTAAAGCAGTATTTTTTCTTTAAAGTGTTTTCAAGTGTTATAGAACGAACATGTCTTTTTAGAAATAAGTTTTTAAGTACTATGGTAATTGGAGAATATCGTTAACTGTATCATCTGGAATACAGCTGGATCAGTGCCATTGAAAGGAGTTGTTATTATTTCAGTGACAGTGAGATATTGTGGTTCTGCATCTCTTTAGGACTCCCCTTTGGCTCTTGTGGGCCTTTAGATACAGGGTGTACTTGCTGAGTGATGAACACCGATCAAAAAGATAGTGGGCCAGTTGGCCAAAACAAAAATTTTATCTCATAGTGGTAACGTCTTTCTTCAGTTTTGAGTTGCTAGGGCTTTTTAACAGCAGTCTCTTTTAACCTTTGCAGAATCAGGTAGCAAAACAGTAGCAGGGACCACCACAGCTGAAGAAGCTGCTAAAATCTTGGCAGAGAAACGGCGTCTAGCACGGGAGCAAAGAGAGCGTGAAGACCAAGAAAGAATTCAGAGACTGGAAGAGGAAAGGTAACAATTCAGGAGAAGGAAAGGATACTTTCAGTGGTGGGGTGGACACTTAGCTGTATATGTTTCCTAATCATTAACTTAGGATCCTGTAAATCTTAATGCAGTTCCTGAAGCAGAGAGACAGCACTAGCACCATTGGAGATGGGACAGGTTGCTATGTATATCATTAACCTATATCTCAGTATATATGTAATGCATTGTCCCCGTGCAAATCACTTCTGCTTTTTCCTTCCAGTCACCACTGCTGCTTTTATTTCAGAACTAGAATGTGCTTTTTACACCACTTGTATTTGTTCTGTTGTCTTGACATAGTCAACCTCTCTCTATTAAACTTTCCTTTGATGAACTCAGGCAGTGGTTTGACGGTACATTAAATCTCACATTAGTGATCCTAAATCTGGATCAGAAATGTCGCAGCCAAGTAATTCAAAGTGTACATTCAGTTCACTGCATAGAAGTTGTTAAAAATAAACTACTAATTTTGTGCTGACTAACTTTATTCCAGGTCAGGGGTCAACTGTCTGTGCTTCTGTGAACTTTATGGAACATTAGATTTTGTCTGTTTTCAGCTCAAGGGTGTAAAGGTGTCATAAACTTGCATATAGTCTGCTACAGATGTTATCAGAAATACAATGTCATCAGATCTGTTGCATACATCTGCGTGATTTGACAGTATACCATCTCCACTATATCTGGAATTTGGACTTATAGAAGAAATGGTCTTTTAGAATATCCAACTAAATTTATGTTTGACAGTGATTCATGTCGTGAATGCAGGTGGTCTTTATTAAATAGTTGTCAGTTAATCCAGTTCTCAGCCAAACATTCCATTATTGGAGCAACCTGCCATGGCCTTGACTTAATCAGCAAAGAACAGTTATGTACTCATACCTAGTTTCTTCCAAGTTACTTTGCTACAGAACTTTTGACGGGTCTGGATGGTGGCATTGTAAATCCACAGCAGAAAGTATCTTTATGCAGTTACTCTGTGATTGGACAACTTAGAATTTTCTTGCTTTCCTGGTCTGTCTCATGTGCATGCATGCTTTTAAAGAAGTAAACTCCAGTTGGTAACCTGTATCTTGGAAACGCTAGAATCAAAGAAGAAGAAATGGCCAAGAGAGCAATTGAGGAAAAAGCACGATGGGAGGAGGAGCTCCGCAAGCAGGAGGAAGAAAAGAGACTGGCTTATGAAGAACAACAAAGACAAGCTGAAGAGGAGAGGATCCGCCGAGAACAGGAAGAGCAGGAAAAACTTGCAGAGCTTCAACACCAGGTCTGCTTATCTGTAGGCTCCAACTGTGTTCCTCATACAAGCTGCTGACATGTTTTTGAGGGGGTTGGCTTCAGTTTTCTTTCACAGAACGTTTTTGACAAATCTGTCAGGAATGATGTAAAGCTGAATTCATCCTGTCTGAAATGGATGTGAGAGCATCTTGAAGTCCTTTCCTTGCTCTAGTCTGTAATGATTATTTTTTCAATTTGATAAATTCAAGTGTGGGGCAGAATCAGAAATTTTTTTAGCCGTCTGGGATGCTAGTTTGAATGCGTGAAATATTTGTACTGAGACCACTTTGCCAGCTTACTGCTATGGATTATAAGGAGGTGGTCTGTCTGGAAAGTTGTCTGACTTGCTCTGATTCCTTTAAAAGAAAGATTAGTAGTGCTTCCAAGTCTGGTTTTCTGCTTACAAAATAGTCTAGTATCTTTCTGCCTTTACAAAGGCATCCTTCTAACTGCAGGGAGCTGTTTCGCAGAAAGTGGACTTCCTTTAAATGAGATTAATCTTGAAAATTAAAGCCGTTTTACGATTAACTTGTGTTTGAAGAGCTGTATCTTATCGATAGCATTGACACGTGTCTGAACATTTCTTTAGAAGCTTGTTTAAGTTTAGAACGATTATTCAGTGTATTAACTCTGCTTCCATCTTCTTTCCAGTCATACTGGAAAATGTTCCAGTGTAGAAGGAACAGAAGATGCTCAGCACCAAGTATTTTGGTAGTAATACCTGACTGCCAAGATTTTTAAGTTAACCTTGATACATTCAGAATTTAATTGCTGTCTTGTTACTTTATAAATTATCCTTCCTAGACCAATCTTCAATGTGAAGTATAGTTTGAACCCCAACTAGCTCAACAACATTCAGAACATTTGCATAATCACAATACAGCCATGCACATAATTTTTCTTTTCAGATCAGTTCCTGAATGTCATAGTAATACATATTTCATGTCAGTAGCTGGGTAATTGGCATTTAGCTGCAACGTATGGTAATATAAATAGTGATTGTCTGATGTTCCTGTCTGTGTTGAACCAGAATCTCTGTAACGGCTCTACTTTTGACTCTTGGAAATGAATTGTGCACTGGGTGCTCTCTTTTTGTTTTATTTTCAGAGAGAAGAAGCTGAAGCAAAAGCTCAAGAAGAGGCTGAAAGACAGAGGCTGGAAAGAGAGAGAATTATGCAACAAAATATGCAGGAAAGGCTTGAAAGAAAAAAGGTGTGCTACCTTGAAAGCAGAGAAGTTTCTCAGCCTAAAATAGTGGTTGAGGGTGAAACTGAACAAGCAAATGGTCTTGGCTGCATTTGAGTAGCAGTGTGTGCTTTAAAAAATGCCAACTCTGGCTTGTGAGCCTTAAAAAAGGTGAAAAAAGTAGTAAATTTATGAAATAGGAAAATATATTATGATTGGTGAAAGTGTAAACCAAAGTGCTAAAATACAAAGCTCGGTATGTCATTGCAAATATTTTCCCTGTTTTAACAGAGAATTGAAGAAATAATGAAAAGAACACGAAAATCGGATCAAAACGAACCCAAGGTACTTATTTGGATCTGTATAATGACAGAATAGGCCCTTCCCAGAGAAGGCTATGCCGTGTGTCCTTGTATCAGAGGAAGCTCTGTTATCCGTACACAGACTGGCTTCCACATGAAGTGCAAGGTTGTGGTTCACCAGAGTAGTCCTCAGTAGCTTCCCATTGCACAAGTTCTTCTGCTTTGTTTCTTCTGACCAAATGTGTTTTTGTTCAAGGCATATAGAAACATGTGATCTGGTGTTACTGCTTGCACAGATTTTCTTAAAAAAACCACTGGTTAGTAATGGATTTTGGGTTTTTTTAACTGTATGCGTTCTGCTGGGGTTATTTTTTCCCCAGAAAACTTAAATTCCTGGCTTCAGTTCTTTGCTTAATGCAAATCCTGGATGCCCCTTGGGTTGCTCCAGTAAACTGGATGTATTTTTGTTAATGTAGTGACCTAAGGTTTGTGGTAAATGATGTGTATTATATTGAGGAGTAGTTTGTTCTTCTCTGAACATTCAAATATCCAAGTCTTCATATAGCTGAAAATCAACAGATATTGAGGACACACCTTGGAGAAATGAGGGGAAAAGGACCTCCAGAATAGTTCATAGGAGGAATAGGAGGAGGTCAGGTAGGAGATGAAGTGGGTCCCACACATTCCTTTACAGGCTCTGGCTCAGCAGAGCGTGTGTTGCTGGGTGACCCGATTGTCTGTCAGCCTTTGGACTAGTGTGGTCTTACTGCTGGGCACAGAGTAGTCCTGCATGGGAGCTGTGGTTGAACCGTTTGTGAAACACTAGAGCATAGTGAGTTATTCTGAATAACACTCTGGCAATTCAGTTGCAGAATGAAGGGAAGTCTGCCTCTGAGGTTATGGAGGGAGAGGATATTGAAGAGGAGGAAGAGTTGGGGCTTGAGAAGACTGATCAACCAGGTAAGGAAACCTGCTGAGTCAGGCCTAAGTGGCAGTCAGTGTCTCAGTGATGTCTAAGCATTGTTAAAAAGGTCACTCACATAACAGCATTGTGATGATCTGAGATGCAGGTCTCAGAAATGTCAGGGAGGCTCTGCTTGAAGAGAGTAGATTATTGCCTTTTCGTACCACAAAAGACAGTCAAAGTGATTAAATGCAAAAATTATTCAAGAGTCAAATGCAGACAGCATGCTCTTATTTTACAAGTGTATTTTCAAAGATGGAGAGCAAATTTCATGTTATAGGCAGCTTGTCTATAGAGAAATGAATCTATTGAAGCCAAGTGCCTCAAGTTTTGGCTAGGAAAGGTCATTTTGGCACTTATATTTTATTCATTTAGAATAGTAATTCTGTTGCTGAAGCTGCTTTTTTTTTTTTTTTTTTTTTTTTTTTTTTTTTTTTTTTTTTTCCCCCCTCCCCCCAACTTTCAGGAAAGCTAAATGGCCTTGACTTAGCCCAGGAAGTCAAGGGGGAGGCAGAGGGTTGTTTAGAGACTATGCATAGCTTGATCTCTGCAGAATCTGAGGAACAAGATGTGTCGGAGCTGAAGGCCGGTGAAGTGTTTATGAATGGAGGCGATTTGAAAAGTGATGAGGGGTCTCTACTTGTCGCTGAATTAAAGGACTGCAGGTGAGTCTGTGTAGGTGGCTGCTTTACTGTCAGAGCAGTTAGCCGTCACACAAGAAATGTCTCTAGGTTTAAATTAAATTTAGTGCTGTATGTAGCATTGCTTCAGATTTTGCACCCTGCTAGCCTTGTGATATTTCTCTGGCTTGCTCCAGGCATGAGGTGTGTGCATGCTGTCAGTTTACTGCTTCACGCAGAGGCAGTTAGTTCAGGATAATTGTTTGTTTAGATGGCACCATGTTAACAGTACTGGCTTTGCTAAGAAGTGAGACACATAGCCAGCAACGTGGCAGTGTTACCTATAAAGAATGGCATTGGCTTGAAATCTTTTCCCTTGAAATGGCTAGCAGTTCTTTTCATTAACAAAACATTAAACAAGAGGGATGGGGACAACACTGAAAAGGAAGAATAACCTACAGAAAGCTCTAGAACAGTTTCAGTTGCTCTAAAACACCAGACACAACACAAAAGCCTCTCTTAATGGGAATTTTTTTTAGTATTTCAGATTTTATCTTTTTGAACATAAAGCATTGCCATCTACTACTGGAAAATCTGTCCTCTGATGTTTGTTCCATTTGCTCATCTAAATGCTAATGATTTAGAAATGACATTGTGAACTCTTTTTATATTTTTTTTTAAGTGACGCTAGATTATTCCATCACTGGAGGAATGAGATTATAAAGACAATTTCATGATTTTCTTAAGAATGAATGAAAATTGATCACTCTGATTTGGGTTTAGATTTTAAATCTGTTTTAAATATTGCTAGTCTTCTGAGACTCAGTTTTGTATTTGAAAAGTGGAGAAAAAAAGGAAAAATGCACACTACTAAAGTAGGGATTTAGTGGTGCAGGGCTTTGAACTTGTTGCTTTCTTTTGTCAAATTTCTGGAACCAGACCTTACCTGAGAGCCATTAGTATAGTAAAAAGTGGCTATATGTTGGCGAGTCATTCTTCCCCATTGGCTTTTGGAAGGGAGATCCTGCGTGGCATCTGGAGGAGCGTGTCTGGGAACGCCCTTCAGGAGGTTCAGTGCTTTACAAAGTATGCAGACTGCTAATTGGCTGGCCTGTAATCAATCTAAAGGTTAAATATGCAGGAAGTATAATACAAGTATCCATTCTTTTTTTGTAGCCATCCTGCAAAAGAAGTGGTTATCGACGACTCAGTGAAGTTGGGTGTTAACGAAGCTGATCATACAATTGGACTTATTCAGAATCTTAATGGAAAATCTGGTTCGTGGACTTTTGAGGAGTTTATTGACGTTGGAGTACATTCCAAGTCAACCAAACTGAGTTCTGACAGCATCTCTGCTGGTAACTGTAATCAAAACTTGAATGATGCTGCTACAATACCTCCTAGTCCCAAATTGGCTTTTGAGGAAGATGGTGCAGTGAATTCATTGACCAAACCTATAGATGCTTCATCAGGTAACCCAAGCTGATTCCCCTGTCTCTTCCTCTGGCTAGGTAATTATCTTCCTTGCATTTTACTCTCCTTGCCTTAACTTCAGTTTCTTATTTTCAAGGCACTTTTTCCAATGTGTAGACTGAAGGAAAAGCTCACTCTTTAGTGCTTGTAGCTTGCATTCTGTCAAAAGGAGTCACCAACTGATGCCTTTTTGGGGGTGTGCTGTAGACAGCTGCTAAGGCCCAACATTAAGGCTCTTCCAAAGACGCAGCTGAGCCCCTTGTGAAGCTCCTGTACCTCCTACCAGCACTCAAGCCCATCTGTTGTATTTTTAGGCTTCTTCTAAGACGTCTTAAATGGCACATGTTACTTTTGAAGATACTAACAGTTTAAAAAGTGTCTGATGTAACTCTACAGACAAGACCTTTCCACTCCTAGGCATGTTCTATAACTTTTTGATGCTGGCCTGCATGGTCTTACAAGGTCTCTTCAGGCTCTGGCAAGGTATTCGCTGTCTCTCTACTTACTATAAAATAGTCCTTCACTTCACTGAGTGGAGGGGTCACACCGACCTTAAATTCCACAGATGGTTGTGTTACATTGGGGGAGGAGTAATAAAGCTGCACACACAATATTCTGAATTTTCTGAAAGGAGCAGGGCTGCATCTGAAGCCCCATGTGCTTGAGAAGCCAAACCCTGATGCAGTACAGCACAGTGTGTGTGAGGGAGGCTTCAGTAAGCCAGTTTATGCGAGACTGAACTTCTCTGGTGTTGGAGCTAAACCACAGATGGATATACTCACAGCAGGAGATCTCTCCGTGAGGTAAATGACTGTGTGAACAGTTGAAATGATGGTAGTGGAAAAACCAGGACTTGCTGTCCACATTTTCTTTAAGTGATGTGTAGCACTTTTTTTGATTAAAGTGTAGCACTCTTCTAGACTGAACTGTTTCCCGAGTCTCCTCTGTCACTCTGCGTCTTGTGAATTTCGGTCCTATGGACATAGCCTTATTGAGACTTTCCTTGAGGCCATGACTAGCTGGCCCATGGGAATAGACAGTTTTAATGTGATACTGCTGATCACATTTGGTTCTGATCAAAATCGTTAACATTTTAGTGAAGAAAGTGTTGCCTTTTAATTTTGAACTTCAAAACATTTAGACATAATAAGGTTTAAAAATTATGTGCATAACATTGAAAGCTAATATTCCTACATAAAAAAGGAAATGCTACTGTGCTGATTTTGGACTGTAAGTAATCGAGTGTTTCTGTGCTCACTCCCTGGATGTAGACTGACAGTGATGATAGATGTATGTGGCATACACACAGTTATGATGGTTAAATGTTTTCTTCTCTTTGCTCTTTGGACAGAACTGTGAACACTAGAGACCTGGAAATAATCTGATTGCACTTCAGTAATGCAGTGTTTTATCAAGTACCGAAGGCCTTGTTTTGAAAAGCTGCTTGTTTACCTTTATCCATCTTCAAGTTTGCAAAAAACAGCAGGGGCGGGATGACAGACTTCAAATTTGCACCTTGAAACATTTCAGGGAAACTATTGTGCTGACGTTCCTTTTGCATTCATTTAGCTAATTGTTAGATAAGATTTTCTTGTTCAAATATCACTTGTTTCCCTTTTACAGACTTTACCGTGACCTGTTTGAGTCTGTTGGGTTTTTTTTAAAAATTTTTTATTTTCGTATCAGTATCATGTACAGCACCGTGCCACTGGAGGCTCCCCACTTAGCTACTGGCCAGATTTTACATATTTCTAAAACAGCACTTGATGAAGTAAAAGTCTCCTTTGGTGTGTGTTAAACCTGAACTCCCTTTGTAATGTTCTAGAAAAATACTGTTCCTTGTTGGTTCATGTGCTATTCAAAACTGCAAAATTTAGTATCTTCAGTTTTTAATGGAGAAGAAAATTTCCTCATTTTCTTATGTGAAATATTGGCAGTTTCAAAATGCAGTATTGTACCATCACTAATATGTTTTAATCTATTGGCAAACATCAAAACATTTTACAGCATATGCACTAATATGTTGAGTACCTAGGTATGTCTGTCATAGTGCAGTTTAACATGTCATGCTTTAAAAAATGTTTTCCTTTTGAATTACTTATTTAAGTTTATCTACACTTACTGAAGTATTATTGTGTACATAACAGTATTAGACCACTGAAGTCATGTTTTGTTCATGTTAATTATTCTAAGTGTTCCTGTTCTAGCTTTACAACAGTGGCTGCGAGCTGCATATATGTATTTCCCTTCCCCTAAAGCCTGCATTGAGTAATCTATTTAACCTAAACTTGCCTGCTTTTTACAGCATGAAGAGATTAACTAAGCATCTTCTGAAAATTGCTACTAAAATTAATAATGCAGTCTGGTTCTTATGTCTCCTGTAACAGATATACTGGAGAAGTGATTACTTTAAAGAATAGCTGTCTCAAATCCTGCTGTAAACCATTGGCTGATACTTCAATTCAAGTGAATCATCCAAATGGCAGATGTGTGTTCAGTGGTTAAATGCAAATGGTTTTACTGGAACTAAATGTGTTCTTTCTTCGACATCGCAGTTCTGATAGGAAACCCTCAGCCTTCTTACTCTTGCTGCTTGCTATTCAGAATACGGTAGAACTGTTTTAGACTTTAGAGCAGTGCCTTAGGTAAAAGGAAAAATGTATTTTTGTATGATAGCTGTTTCATTCTGGCAGAGACAATCATTCTAACAAAAAAGATGCCGATATTTTTTTTCTGTGTTGATATTATTTGTTGAATGGTCTGTTACAGCTCTATGTAAATACATGCGCGCTGTTAAATAAACTTGGCAGTTGAACAATGCCTTATTTCTGTAATGCTAAACATTACCTTACTAGGAGTCTGCAGCCCCTTGCCGTGATGACCTGCCTTGGGATGCACTCTGGTACTGCTCGAACTACTCCCCACTGGAGATTCCCAAAACCAGTAGCCTCTTTGGCGACTGCGTTTGTGTGGCTGGGAAGGTATTTGTACTAACACCTTCAGGTCTCGCTGTGTTTGTACATGCTGATGACGTGTTCATAGCTGTCGAGTTCTTTAACTTGCTTTTCACTGTAAGCCTTTGCCTTCTACTTGTAGCCCCAGCATCTTTATGTTCTAACAGCGAGTCCAGCAGTGACCATCAAGAATACAGCAAGATGCTGCCTTTTGTTTTGCTTGCGAGGGTTCTTTGTTTCTGGTAGGTGCTTGTGAAGAAAAGGGAATGACTGGAGCAGCATCCAGTTGATAAGTATTTCTGTATTTCACTACTGTGGGGAAAAACCCCTTAAAACCCTTAAACCAGCATTCAGGTTGCTGAAGGGTAGTGGATCTGTGTATGGACAGTGGCTATACATATGTTCTCCAAAGGGCTTTTTCGCACAGGCTGTTCCTGGCAGATGGTCCAGTGTCAGTTATATGTTAAAAAAATTAATTAGTTTATGAAATTCTTGCCGTGGTACTCAGATATTTAAAGGTGCTATGGCAGAACAGCTGCCTCTATTTTGTCAGTATCAGTGTATGAGACTTGATTGGAGTAGCTCAGCCATAAGAGGTGTCAATCATGTAAGATGGCAAAGTGAAAAAACAATTTTCCAGACTGTAGGACTCCAGGCAGGCACTAGTCTTATTTTTATTAAATCATAAAACGTACACTGATGTGATAGGAGACCTATCCTTGTCTGAGCTATTTTTAAGGCACTTTTAAATGCACGTGCATTTTGTTGTAGTTGAAAGATGTACTTCTTGTTAATGGATTAGTAATTGCCTATAGACAGCCTCATTTAAACAATGATGTAAAAAAAGCTGATGAGCAAAACTATTTGGGCAAACCATGCAGAAATCAAGACTAAACCAAGTTTATGGGAACTTAACTAAAGCTAAATTGTACTGCCCAAACCTTGTTATATGTAAGACAAAGCCATTCCGTACATGTGCTGCGATTTGGTGTGGTAGGGTAAGCTAAGGTATTCAGTACTGAGCTGCTGTTAATGATGCGATGACTGTAATGTACCTGTACTTGTAGAAGCTTAAAAATGGATCTCTCCAGTCCCAGTGCAATCTCTGCATCTCTGTTTGGGATGCATGCCTTGTCAAACCCACTTCATTTAAGTGCCAAGCTTAAACGTATACCAGACAAGTTTAAAACTAGCTTTGTTTTAGTTTAAGCCACACGCAGATTATGTAGTATGTGGATCTCTAATGCTAAATCTAACAGCATTTCAAGCCTTTACGCTAAGAGTTACTTGGAAACAAAGTTAGATTTTTGCAATGCTACATGCTTTTGTACTGCAGGAGCTTCAAAAGACAAACCCAATATATAGTGGCTACTTTAGTTTTTATACTAAAATGGAAAAAGTTAAAATTCTTAACATGCGAAAACCTGCTCCTTTACCAGGACTGTTTTGGAAAGCAAGGCTCTAAAATCCATTTTACAGCAGTTGCTGTCTGCTCCTTACAGTCGTTTGGGACACTCAGCACAGTAAATTTTTCCATTATGGCAAACAAAGCGCTTGTTGGCCAGACCACGGGCACACTTTGTGCATTTGAAACAATAATCGTGCCAGGATTCATCTTCGTAGTTAACCACACTGGTTCCTCTTCCAAATCCTGCTAGGAGAGAAAACAATTATAGGACGGCGATAGTAGCTTTGCCCTTGGCTGGGTTAGCCCCCAAACAGCAGATCCCGTTCTTCCTGCCTACTGTGCTTCTGTAGCCTTGCAGACTGTATTTGTATGTCTGAAACACTAGTCAAAATTGCAACTGAACCACTTTGTTTGCTGCTCAGTATTACTGCTCCTAGAGAAACAGGCAGCTTAGCGTAGCTTGTGTGGTTTGGCTCTGCAATAAGCTTTTTCCCTTGGATCCTTTCTCCAGGAAACCATCGAGCTGAAGGAAAGATCAAGATGTAGAACAAGGACAGGTTGGCCTAAACACCTTACGTGGTTGTTACAGGCTCAGACTCGTGCTCTAAAACGCAGGATGTTATGCAAGTCTCAGTGGACTGGCAGGGTAGT